TGCAAATGTGGTGAAAGGTTTGTTGATTGCAACGCAAAGTGTTGAGGAACCACTGGTCGTACTTGTCGAAGTGAAGCATGCGTTGAAAATCCACTTCGTTAACTGTTAAAACATTGTACTTGCCTGCACTTGGTATCCGAGAAATGGTTGCAACACACACTCCAACAGCAGCAACAGCAGCAGCAAGAACAGTCATTAAAGCAATCGAGTCTTCCTGCTGTGGCGTTGCCATCACCGCACGTGCGAGCTCCAGCATCACACGGGCTAGGGCCAGAATTGCTCGGGCCAGGGCCAGCATCGCTCGGACCACCACCAGCAACACACGGTCCATCACAAGCAACACACGAACCACCACCAGCAGCACACGGACCACCACCAGCAACACACGGGCCACCGCCAGCATTACACTGGCCAGCACCAGCATCACACGATGTGTTACCAAACGACTTCATGGCGTGCAGAGTTAAATGTCGAAATGAGTTCAGCGTTCCCTGGACACGATTATTGGCACGTGGTGTCTCACCGGACAAAAAGGCCGGATAATGTCGTGTTCAGTGTTGGGATTTCATTCAGTGTTTTTCCGCGAACACGGCCTAAGTACAGGTAATCCCTGTCTTAATGGAGGCAAAGTTTGACAGGTTCTTTATTGATTTTGAGAAGTAACTGTTTCATAGAGAATATACCAATCTTCCGACAAACCATGTCAAACTCACACATTTATTTACGTCATTAACTCAAATCGACAAGAAACACATGGATGGGGCGCCAACACGCAAGCGCTCCATCAAGGTAACAACCTCTTCAACATTTTCTTCTACAATAAGAGTATGACGCCAACAGTTTTGAATAGTAGCTTCCGAAACCTGCTCCCAAGCTGCTTGGGCCCAAGGAATTCCTCGAGTTGCGGATATTTGACAGGATGACTCTTCTTTTTTGTTGGATTGGTTTGCACGGATTCAATGCGTGGGGGCTGCTTAAGCGTGCGGGAAATAGCTTGTATAGATGGACGCGAGGTGAGCTTAAGCTCAACTTTGGCCCAATTTGACAAAGAAGTGAAAGTCATTGTTGGGTTGGCCAAGTGATGCTCATAAATTACTCAACGTTACTAGGCGTTGAGGACAGTTCGTTTTTGTGATGGCTTTTTCATCGAAGGCAGTCAATGGATAAGTGACCACACGTTCAGGCCACTTCTTAAGTTAAGTTTGAATTCTTGAAATGCTAGACAGAGTCACACAAAAAACCTTTGTATATTGATGAGAAACTACATTATAGAATGTAACAGTTATAAAGTTTGATGGACTTCCATTAAGACAGGGATTACCTGCAGTACTACTATAAAGTGTACTTAGTAGGACAAGATCCTGGGTTCACTTTTCCATACCCGACGTTTCCTACGGTTCATTCTCTGGATATGCGATGCATTCGGTCCTTTGCAAGCTCGTCGTCGTCGTGGCATGAAACGGCGACAATTTTGAAACGGCAGCCATGAAGCGCAAGGAGCTCTTGGCGGCATGCGAGGCGCTGGTCAAGTCGTACGATCCTGCCATTATGACAGTGGATGCCCACGTGGACGAAGAGCTCAAGGATTTTGCCCAGACAGACCGGGTGTTCCTCCATCAAGTTTTGTACGGGTGTGTTCGGTACAAGGACGTGCTCAAGGTTGTCTTGTCCAATTTTTACCAGGACAACTCGGCCAAGTGCAGCCGGAACGACTACACCAAGTTTCTCATCATGGGGTACCTTGCAATCTTTCGGCTGGATGAGATCGGCATGGCCGCTTTCGAGGGCTTTGTGACGACGCAGAACCCGACGGCGATGCACGTCTTCCTCACTTATCTCTTCGACGACACCATCTTGCAGGGTCCTGTTAAAGCCGAATGGCTGCGCCTGTTGGACCAAGCCTACGTCGAGGTATGCTCTACGTCGCTGATTGAGCTATCCCACACACATGGCGCAACTAGACCCAACTAATTGATAAGCTCGTCAAACATCGGCCGCAAGTTGAGCAAGTCCTCGACCATCTACACGCGAAAGCGTTTGGCATGGCGGCGGCGCGAGAAAACCTCAAGCAAAACGGCGGCGTTGTGCGTGTTGCGAGCAAAGAGCCGACAGTGCCTGTCGCTCCCAACATCACCAAGCCACGGCCGCGCCCTGTTCCCGAACCCACGCGGATCCCCCTCGAAATGAAAGCGCATCCTGTGCCAGATCTGAACAAACTAACGCTAGCCGACATTCAAGAAAAGCAACAGCAGCGGCGAGAGGCCATCAAGGAACAGGTGTGATGTGTCGAATAGACGGAGCTTGCTGAGTTTTGTCGTGGTGGGATGTGTTTAGGTCTTGAAAAAGTACCAAGAGTCCGCCGCCCAACCATTTCAGCTCGAAGAGACGAAGAGCAATCTCGAAGCCATTAAACAAGAAGTGGAGGACCAGCGGATGGCAGAACTCAACAAGAAATTTAAAGCCAAGCCGGTGGGTCGTCGACGAGTGTTTCATCGATCGAGTCGAATGCATAACAGCACTTGTGATGGCGTCGTAGGCGCCAAACTTCAGCGAGAAAGACGCCGCCGTCAAGCTCAACACTGCTGCGATTCTTCGCGAAGACGCGCTGTACAAGAAGAAGCAAGAAAAGGAAGCAAAATTGATCCAAGTAATTGTCTCTTGACCGCTCGAGCGATGACGTTTGCAGTCGATGACCGATCTCGTCTAGGCATACGAGTCAGACCTGCGCGACGCGTCCGAGTTTTACCGGTGGCAGAGCGATATGCTTAAGAAAGACGATGCAGCGCATCGCGCGCAAGTCGAAAAGCGGCGTCTTGAAATGGCTCAAGCCCAGCACGAAGCGATCGAAGCCAGGTACGAGCGTCGTAGCGGGCCGACAATCCAAACCGTATTGCACCGGACACACGATGTCCTGACGTGTCGTGAGCGACCTAGTCTACGCGCCAAAGTCGAGAACCGGGACGTGGCCAACCAAATGAAGCTCGTGTCGAAAGAAAACGAAGAAAAGCGGCGGCTCGAAGGTAGCATCGGCCTTTGTTCTTGCGCTGCTGCCTTGCCTCGGGCGTCGTGGGAGCGCTGACTCATGGGCTTGATTAGAAATGGAAATCGACCAAGCGCATCGACAAGTGGCGCTGGAGATCAAGTTGACGCGGGAGAGCGCGCCGCGTGAAGCCGAAGACCGCGTCAAGGCAGAAAAACAAAAGCAGCGAGAAGCCGTCAACGCGTTGTTGGAGCAAGAACGGGCGCGAAAGGCAGCGCAGGACGCAATTGAACAAGCGCAGCGTGAAGACTTGATTCGGCAAATACGGGCGCTCGACCGTGTCCATCGCGAGCATGTCACGGTACACCTCGTTGATTCCAGCGTGTCGACCGCCACCTTGCTTGATCCCTCACGCAGGTGTTTGACCCGACCGAGAGCGCGAACCTTGGCCTGCTCGACGAGATGTCCTTGGTTGAGTTACGAGAACGCCTGCAATTGCGCAAAGTGGAGGAAGCCGAGCTCGAGGCACAGCGGCGCGAGCTCATTTTGCAAGAGAAGAAGGAAAAGGAGCTCGACTTGAAGGCGCGTGTGAGCAACATTAGCCGCATCCGGCGTACGTACCCGCCGTTTTTGACGATACAGAGCCCAAACAAATCGACGTAGAGCTAGCGGCGTCGGCGAACCGATCGTCTCGGGAGCGACGAAAGCAGCAGGAACAGGAGAAGCGCGACCAAGAAAAGAAAATGCGGGACGAAGGTACTGACTGGGAACGGCCTCGTTCACGGGTCCATAAATGCCAATGGCGACTAGGAAACGTAAAATTGGCGCAAAAGATGGCAGCGCAGCGAGCGGAGCGGGACGCTGAGTTTCAGCGACTGAAAGAAGAAGGCGAGCTAATTGCGAACAAGCGTATGTTCTTGGGGGCAGCCAAAAACATGTTGGAAATGCGCCACTTCATGCAGCAAACGATGGGCGCGGAGCGACAGGCATCCAACCGCCAAGAAGCAGTGCAAAAGGTTTGTGTGTCATTGTTACGGCATCCGCGCGTTGAACTCACGTGCTGGTAACCCTGTCAGGAAGCACGGGTCGAGGCACAAACGAAAGAGACCGAGAAGAAAATGCGGCAGACGTACCGACACAAGAAAGCGATCGAACACGATGCAGCATTGCGTGAAAACGAAATGCTGATGGACAAAGCAATGGGCGAGACCAAGCAGCGGCTGCGGCACGACAAGGACACGAGGAAGGCCATTGTGCGCCACGAGAAAGCCCGACGGATGCACGCCAATGAAATCTTGCAGCACCGAAATGTGTATGCCACCCAAGTGTCGGCGGCAGACGTGGCCAGTGGTCGGACATATCGGACTCAATCGTCGAATCAAGAGTCGTAGGAATGAAATAAGTTGTCGTGCGCATGGTGCACGTGTTCTTCGTTGGGCAGGGGAAGGTAGCTCACCTCGTCTGTCGCGTTTTCATGGGGGCGCTGCAGTCGTCATCAATGAACGGCCATCACCTTGATCGAGGAGTGTCAAGTGTGGCATTGTGCCAGCCCAAGTGACGAACGAATTTTCTGGCGGGCAACAGCGCCTCCCTGTGGATTCCGACTAAATTAGCACAAGACGGATGCACTTGCTTCCCAAGCCGGGATCGTTTATCTTGTCGATGTGCTCCTATCGTAGGCCGTGTGTGCTTCCACTACAAAATCAAGTGAATTCGCATGGCATTGCCAACCTTCCTTCGAGTCCATGGGCACCGTGCATGTGCGAGGCGGCCAGCTGATGAGTCAGTCGTGCTGCGGTTGCAGTGGACGGAAAAAACTCTTGTAGCAAGGGCCTTTCAAGCTGGCTGTGCGCACGCGAGTTGTTGGAGGTTGGTACGACTTACTATGCATGCGGTTTTGGAGGGGAACGAAATCTCACATATGTGAGGTGTCCACATTTTGAGCCAATCAAAGAGCAGGAAACCGAGGAATGGTCAATGGCTCGAACATGCGTGGACAGCGAAGCCGCCGGCCGAGTGTCGAAGAAGCAGAAGATGTCGTCAGGGGGCACATCAACTATGGCGAAACCCACCATCGACTGGAAGAAAACGCCGTCGTTCCCACCCGCTGAAGGATCGTGCACTGTGTGGCTTCCTCGAAAGCAGCGCTACTGTTCTCACCACGCCACGTTCGGGTCGACGAAATGCACAACTCACGCCGCGCTAGACACTGCACCGCCAGGAACGTTAAATGAAGCAGTCCTCAACACGAATGAGGACGCGGACGATGCCACGACCGAAGACAAACCGCCTGAAGGTATGATCAAGGCCGATGCGACATGACGTCTCCTGAGCGTTATAGCAGTCACGTCGCGAAAAACAAACTTGGACCGGCACTTGAAGCGCATGCTGAATCCTTTCTCGATCCTACCGCTGAAAGAAGCCCCTGTTTGGAGCGAGGTGAGAGCAACGGCCGCGATGTAGCTGCTGCACGTTCTGGCATTAGCTCTTCTCGGATCCGTCGCTGCCGCTCTGCATCGACATCGGGTGCTCGAAGGGGCTGTACATCCGCGACTACCGCGACAAGAAACAGGTCCACATTGCTCCTTTTGCAAAACCCTTCGTCGTGGATTGACGAATGCTCCGTGATCCAGTTGGAAGCGCACTGGAACTTTCTCGGCGTTGAAATCTTTGAACCATACGTGGCGGCGGCGAACGCTGCCACGCGACAGCACCAGTCGCCTCAGCGCACCAAGAACCTGGCGTATGTTCATGCCAACATCAACAACAGCCTCGAGACGCTCCTATCGGGTATCCACCAAGTTGGTCGCGTCAGCTTGCTCTTTCCTGATCCGTGGGGCTGTGGGCTGGCCAAAGATCACAAAAACAAAAAACGGCGCGTCATGTCCGCTGCGTTTGCCAAGGTAAGAGGTGTCCCAGGGCAACGCCCAGGTCGATTTAAACGGTGGCCTTCGTCCTAGCGCCTGGCAAATGCCATGCCGCTGCATTCCGAGTTCTACTTGGCCAGTGACTACGAGGACTTGGCCCGAGACATTCGAGCGCATTTGTTGGCCACTGGTGGTTTCAACATTCCCGTGGACGGCCCGTACGTGCCTACCTTGACAGCGTCGGCAATTCGACAAAGCTACGAGAACAAAAAGTTGCAGAAGGAGCGACTCCTCGACACGACGAAAGCGGTCGGCAAAGTCGCCATGGATTCGGGTGCGTCTGCGGTGGTTCCTTTGGTCGAATCGTGATGGCGGGCATTGATCGGATGTGTGTGCAGATGCATCCACATTGTGGCTGGCAACGATGCCGCTAGGCGTCCCCACGGAACGCGACGTGATTTGCGAAAACCAGTGGCGTCCTGTGTACCGCCTTGTGCTTATTCGTAATGGCACTGCCGTGCCGCCGTCGTCGTAAGATAACAAACTGAACGGCTTCTTCCACACAAAACCAACTTGGCATGGAATCCAGACGTGTCTGCTGGTGACAGTGGCGTCGCAGTTGCGTCAGCCACCGTCACAACGGACGTCGTCCGAATGGGTCGAGCGCTTTCGACCGAGTTGGCGAAAGCAGCCCTCTTGCACATTCCGCTCTCTGTCGTCCATTCTGAAAATCGCCATCTCATGAGGATACTGAGTCCACAGACTTGCGTTAGACCTGCCGGTCGAACGAAGAAGTATGTTTTAGGTGACTGGCTCGAAGATCAGGATGCAGCCTGGGCACTTGACAGAGCTGCAGAGCCCTCGAAACACCCTCTGACGTTCTTTCGGTCGCGTGCACTTCTGTCCACGGAATCTATAGCAAAGAAGCCTATCCCACCAAGGTCTCCTTCGCGGCCAAGCTTCCCCTTCATTACGTCACATTCGTTCCGGAGTGCCACAAACTTTCCCCACTGTCCACGGCTCACGACGGCGCCGCGTCGTAAATCCTCGTCGTTCCGCGTCATGTTCGAATTCGCAACGACCGGCTGCGGGTGAAAAAAACGCGTTATTTTCCTGACGACGCTTTATGATGGAATCGACCAGATTGTGTTTAAACGTACAAAGTCGGTTTAGCGCTATGTCAAATCCACAGTGCAAAATTGGTTTTTTCTTGGCGACGGTTGGGAGGTTGACCAATGCGGTCACAATGTATCGTACGATGCCATCAACTGCGACCGCGACTGTCCTGGCCAGCCGCGAGTTGGTGCAATGCGTGTTCGCCTACCAATGTGGTCTCTACGAAGACATGTTGCCCTTGAGCGATCTCCTTCCCAAACACCTCACGAATCGAGCGCTATACTTCCTCATGATTGGGAACTTTTCTGAGTTCTGCAACCACATTGGCCACTTTGCCACGGGCATTGCGCCATGGCTAGCAAAACATGGCACACGAGGACTCTCTCGGCTTTTCGCGTGCATTGACTCGATGTCGTTCACGGTGGAACTGTTTGCAGCGTGCGTTGGCCACATCGACGTCATCGACTTCATGTTGGACAATGACTTGTTGGATCCGACAATCCCGCTGATGGATTTGGCTGCGTGGGCTGGCCAGCTCACCGTCATGACCCACCTCACAGAACGAAATCGTTGCAAAGACTCGAAACACTGCACCATGACCACCACAACACTCGACTGGGCTGCGTGCAATGGACAATTGAACGTTGTTCAATATTTCACAGAAGTCGAGTTCTCCCCGTGCTCAACAGAGGCGATGGACGGCGCGGCTCGCTGTGGGCATTTGGAAATTGTCCAGTACTTGCACACGAAACGTCGCGAGGGATGTACACCCGGCGCCATGGACCGCGCGGCCTGCTACGGCTACCTCGATGTTGTCGAATACCTCCACGAGAATCGCCACGAAGGCTGCACGTACCGCGCAATGGATGCGGCAGCGACCAGCGGCCATCTTGAGATCGTCCAATTTCTCAACGAATGGCGGGATGAAGGAGCGTCGTCCGATGCCATGGACGGGGCCATTCTCAATGGACATTTGAGTGTTGTGAAATATTTGCTGGACCATACCAGCGTTGCCACGTCATCCGCAGATGTGCTGGATGCGGCGCTCGCACTTGGGGACCCCGACATGGCGGCGTTTTTGTTGGATCGGTTCTGTCTTGATGACGAAGGGACCTGGTCCGGCGACGACGACCCGTGCGAAGCATCCGCGATTCAAGCTCACGTGTTCTAACACTAACCTATTTACATAAAATCCAACGCTACCGCACACAGCATCTCCATGAAGTGATCGTCCTCCAACCTGGCTACGTCCCGTTGTGATTCACGGATTCGAGCGGGGCACTCGTCAGTGCGTCAAGTAGCCACGGCAATGTGAAGTGGTGGCAAAATCCAGCCGACCTCATATCAACTACTTGATCAGGTGTCGTATTCTCGGCCATTTTTTTCTGCACGGTTCGCTCATGTTCCAAAGCACGATAATCTTTTACTCACACGACGTAGCAATAGAAGGGGGTTGTGCTCCGAGTAGTGGCCATGCAGACCGCTTTGTGCGGCCATCCCAACCCACAGGCACGAAAGAGCACGTCCATCTTTGGGTGGAGTTCGATGTTACATAGGTTACTATTTCTTGGCCTTGGCGGCCAGCGCCTTTTTCTTTTCTTCCAGCGCCTTAATTTTGTCCGATTTCTTCCCGAGGCCATGCTGCATCCGACCGTATAACCGCTTGGCCTTCTTGTTCATCATGTTGACCGCCATGTCGTGCAGTTCTTCTTGTTCGGCTTCACGTTTGGCTTTCTTGGATGGCTTGGTGCTAGTCGAAGCCGCCGCACGCTTCTTTGACGTCGAGTCATTGTCATCGTCGTCTTCGCTGTTGGCGTCTACGGCCTCGCCTTCCGCCTCCGCCTTCAAGCCTTGGACATAAGCATCTTCTTCGTCCTCGCTCTCCGCTTCGTCGGACGCAGCGTGGTCCGCTTCTTCGCCGACGGCCGTCGCATCCAACGCGCTCTTGAGCTTGTCCAACTGCTTACGGTAGTCGGGGACATATCCTTCGGCTGCATCGTCCACGAACGGCGACAAATGCGGCGGCAGCGACGCACCGGGCACGTACTTGGCAAGCGGTAGTAGCACTTGGTTGTTGACCGAGTCAAACACCCACTGAGGCTGGACGTATTCGCGGGTGAAGTATCGATGGCCTTGGTGCGGACGATCCATAATGTGATGCGTGATCAAGTCGCTCTTCTCCGAGTACGGCGACCCGGCGCCGTCCCATCCGACGACGCCGCCCTGCGCGCGGATCACAAACTCCAAGCATGCCGATGGAACTTCGCGCGAGAGGAAGAAGCGGAGGCCGCTAAAGAGCTTGGCCGAGTCGTCGCTGTCTGCTTTGTCCCCCACAAAGTCCTTCGTCAAGGTCGAGAAGGCGGTCGTGAGCGACTCGGTCATTTGGCCGTAGCTTGCTTCCGCTTCAGCGTCTTCGTCATCGGCATCTTCAGGTTGAACGTGGAGCGACTTGATGCGGGCTTCCGAGTCCTGTTGCTGTTTGGCGACTGCGTCCTCGTCCGTGTGGACAGCGTCGTCGTCGGCGGCGGCATCGCCGTTGGAAGCGTCAGCCGTGGCTTTTTTCTCCAGCTTCATCGCAGCGAGTTGAACACCGGCTGCATCGAGCTGCAGGTCGATCTTGGGCGGGTAGGCGACGCCGAGTTCCGTGTACAGTTGAAAGTGCACAAACTTGAGGAGCACTTGGTAGAATTCCAAAAACGTGAGCATTACACGCAAGTCGACGTGTTTGTCCATGGTTGGCGTAAACGTGTGCGGCACGAGCCACGTAATCGTCTGGCCCTTAATTTCGGCTTGGTAGTACAGCCCCTTGATGCTGACAAAGACCTTGGTCAGCGCCTGGCTCGCAGCGATGTAGTTCTGCCACTCGCGCACGAGCTGCAGGCAGTCGGTCGTCATTTTGCTCTGGATGCCTTTCACGGACGGCATGACGGCAAACAAGTGAACCAAGCACAACGCGTCGTCCAAGTCGGCGAGTGCGTCCTGGAAGCGCGGATATCGCTCCTTGACAATGTGATCCAACGGGTACGTTGGCTTGGCTTCGTTGATACGGCGGGCGTCCGAGATTTCCTTACGACCTAGAGCTTTCTTCAGCTTCTTCATGAACGTCTTCATGTCGCGAAACTTGTTGAGAATCGGTTCATGTGCCAAGTGCATGACGTCTTTGATGTAGTAGTACGTCGTGGCCTTGCCGCTTGCCTTCTTCTTCGGGTCACGCGGGTAGATGCCCTTGAGGATGCACAACCGACGAAAGTCCTTGAGCGTGATCTGGAGCTTTTTGATCGCCTGGCTACGCGTAATGTAGTTGGCCACGATCCCCTTCATTCCCTTCTTTTGCTCCTTGCCAAGCTTGACGAGGCGGCGCTTCGACCCATGCAGATCCGTCTGCTTGGTCTTGATGCTCTTCAGCTTCTTCTTTCCCTTCACGCGTTTCGTTCCCATCTTCGTCGATTCCAAAACTGACCGCACCAACCAAACGGGCAACCCACCAATGAACCCACCTCGACCAATCAAAACGCGTCGTGGGCACTCCGTCCACCAACCAATCGTCGCCATGCCCACTGTACGACCATTTGTACCATGATATCCTGTCTTGCTGAAACAGGTTCATGGTTGTATTATTATAGTGTAAGACCGTTGTCCTCGAAACCCAACGATCGGTAGAGTCAAACGAAGAGGGATAGGCTCTTGGACGTGTCTCCGACAGACGCAGTGATCAATTTTATTGTCTGCATTCGCGTGCTCGTTTTGAACGGGGCAGAGCCTGTGGAGTTGGTCGCCCCCTTGACGGTCCTCTGTTGCGTGGAGATGGTAGAGGTATGCACTACAGGCCTTGACACAATTTGACGTTGTTCTCATGAACGCTTCGAATGCAGTGACTCGTTGGGCGTACATAGAAGGCCTGGTGGTTAGCTATACCTGTGTGTGGAAGGAACGTCATTGTCAAACTAACAGTAAGAGACACTTTGGACCGACATCTCTCGTCGTATTGAAAGAATATATTGGAATTTGTATGAATTTTACTCCATGATATCCTGTTCCATTACACGCCACGACAGGGCTCACTTGGTTCAATTGCAAGTAGTGCGTATCGAATTTTAACTTGATTTGAGTATGTAATTTGCCGTTCGACTTGGTCCTGCACAATGGTTGGCTCGAATTTCACTTCAGCATTTTTAACCAATGGTATCGCAGAACAACGTGAAAGATCATCACACATTGAAGATGGCCGACACAACGGCGGCGGCGACGACGACGCCCGCGACGGATGAAGAGCCGACTGGACTGCTCTCGAAGGAGCTCATGGAAGAGTTGGGTGGGAACGAAGACGACTTGCTCACCGTGCGCAAGAAAAAAGTCAAAGGACAGGCCAAGCCACCAAGTGAGGAGGTGATGAAGGCGGCCACGAAGCTAAGCAACAGCAAGCGCAAAAAGCTCGCGCAGCTTGAAGCGCGCAAGGCCAAGGAGGCTCGTCGCGACGAAGTGTTTCAGTCGCTGGAGTCAAAGAAGCTGTCCCAGGAGCATCTGAATCTCATGTACTCCACCGCCCGCCTGGGCCACAAGGAGACTTTGAAAGAAAGGTGTGCACCACCCATTTGTATCGATCAGCTCATGGACATGTGCATAGGCTAAAACGCTCGATGAATCAAGAAAAGGCAGGCCTGACTCTCACAGATTCTGCACGCGAGGAGCTGTACCCGGACCTCGGTGAACGCAAGGGCGACGACGTTCCCGACTTAGGGCCCGTGGATAACTCCACGGGAGGTGTTGATGCGCCAGTGGTCAAATCGGCCGTGGTGCCGACATTGCGCAACGATGTCATCTCGCCCAGTGCAGATTCGACGTCGAAGAAAGCGAAAAAGAAGAAGGTCGTGCTCTCTACCGCGGCGGCGCCAGCAAAGTCGAGTCTTTTCAGTCCTGCTTCCGCCGAACTGCGAGCTCCTGCAGCACCTTCTACAGATGAGAACGACGCATCGTCCACCAAACCCGCCGTGATCGACGAGAAAGTATCGTCCGAGTCGGCCATGATGGCCAAGTTGCTAGCCCTGCGGGCCAAGAACGAAGCGAAGCGTCGGCTCAAGGCAGAGGGAGGAAATCCTGCGGCCCCCGTACGTGCCGTCGTCGACAAGTACGATGCCCTGCCCAAGTACACACCACAAGCCTTGCACTTGCACACGACGCACGAAATGCTGGCGCTGGCCAAGACGGTTGCGCCGCTCCAACTCCAGCAAAAGGTGGTTGTCCATCGGTTGGACGCGATTCAGCTGGGTCGCATGCAGTTGCCCGTGTGCAATGCGGAGCAGGAGATCATGGAAGCAATTCAAAACAATTCGGTGGTCATCTTGTGCGGCGAGACTGGGAGCGGCAAGACGACGCAGGTCCCGCAGTTCTTGTACGAAGCAGGGTATGGCACCGACGGCATGCACCCAGGTGCGTTTGGCTACGCGATACTCAGCCACCAAGTCGCATGGACGTAGGCATGATTGGTGTGACACAGCCACGGCGCGTCGCGGCGGTCAGCACCGCCCAGCGCGTCGCCACCGAGCTCAACGTCGACTTTGGCCAGCGCGGCGCGGTGGGGTACCAAATCCGCTACGACAACGAGCACGTCGGCGACGCCACTCGCATCAAGTTTATGACGGACGGGATCTTGCTCAAAGAAATCCAACAGGACTTTCTCTTGAAAAAGTTTGTGTCGCTAGAGAGCCCGCCGTCGACACACACGTCCGTGACCGCTTTTCGTAGGTACTCGATCATCTTGCTCGACGAAGCGCATGAGCGCAACGTGAACACAGACATCTTGATCGGGCTCTTGTCGCGCGTTGCGCCATTTCGTGCCCAAATGGCGATCGAAGAACGAGAGCACTTCGACTCGCTGTCTCTTGCCGACCAGGCCTCGGCGCCGCCCCCGATTCAACCACTCAAGCTGGTGCGCATCCAACGCCATGCCCGAAAACGCAATGGTGGCAGTGGTCATGACGGACGAGTAGGTCATTATGTCGGCAACGCTGCGCGTGGAAGATTTTACTCAAAACAAGACGTTGTTTCCGACCCCGCCGCCTGTGATCAAGGTCGAAGCGCGCCAGTACCCCGTCACCGTCCATTTCAACAAACACACGGAGTTGCACGACTACGTCCAGGCCGCGTACCAAAAGGTGCGTGAATGATATGGCAGGCGTGGATGTCTCAACGGTGTAGGTGGCAAAAATCCACCGCAGGTTGCCGGAGGGCGCGATCCTCGTGTTCTTGACTGGCCAGCGCGAGATTCTGCAGCTCGTGCGCCAGCTCCGACGCACGATGGGTTCGTCCCAGCGAAAGAAACTTGTCCAGGCATCGACCCATCGCCGCAACAGTGTGCAAAACGAGGCTTGGTACATCCGGGAGCATGACGACGATGACGACGAAGCCGACTTGGACGACGCGGATGTGTACGGGGACGAAGAAGAGGTCGACGACGACAAGAGTGACGATGGAGACCGCGACGGGGACTTGGACGGCGACGCCAACGCGATCGACGAAGCAGACGACTTGTTTCCTTTTGTCCATGTGCTGCCGCTGTATTCGATGCTAGCCAACGACGACCAAATGAAGGTACGGCCCAGTCACTCGCGGCACCGGCGTGGTGAATGCACACGTGGCGCACGTGGTGTGTGCCTTGTTGTACCATCGAATCGCGCGGTGGCGCCGCCTCCAACCTCCTGAAGCGGTCGTCTCAATGGGTTGTGTAGGTGTTTGAGGCGCCGCCGCCAAAACACCGCCTCGTTATTGTCGCCACCAACGTAGCCGAAACATCGCTGACAATTCCCGGCGTTCGCTACGTGGTCGATGCGGGGCGGACGAAAGAACGAGTGCGTGGTGGAGTGTGGCGCGCGTTGAAGGCGTCGATGGCTGACACTGCGTTGTGCAGGTGTTTGACCTCAAAAGCGGCATCTCTCAGTTTCAAGTCCAGTGGATCAGCAAAGCGAGTGCCGACCAGCGCGCCGGTCGTGCCGGACGGACAGGACCTGGCCATTGCTACCGCTTGTACTCGTCGGCCGTGTTTGACAATGAATTCAAAACGTTTTCTCCGCCGCAGGTAACGGCGTTGTGCGGGAGCCGAACGCCACGTTGTTTGTGGAGCTAGATCTTGTGCCAGCCCATTGAAGATGTTGTCCTGCAAATGAAAGCGATGGGGATCGAAAACATTCTCCAATTCCCGTTCCCGACGCCCCCGGAAGCGATCGCGTTGCACGCAGCCGTGACCACGCTGCTGCACTTGGGTGCACTCGACCGCACGACGAATTCCATTACAGGTGGGCACGACTCGTGGCACGGTCGGGCAATAAACTCTCGTTGTCGCTTTCAGGGCTGGGCAAAACGCTGGCTGGGTTCCCTGTGGCCCCCAGGTAAGCTGCTGCTGCCGCCGCCCGCTTGTCCGTTCGTGACAATGCCTGGTAGATTTGCCAAAATGTTGTTGTTGGCTCAACAAGTCGGGTGTTTGGAGTATGCGATTGCGGTCGTCGCGAGCCTCAGTGGGCAATCTCCTTTCATTTTGGAGCGGGAGCGGAAGGAGACGCAGAAATTTCAAAAGGAAGATGCCACAAACGACACGCTGCCGACTGACGCTTCGACCGCCGCCGACACGGAGACCCGAATCGACGCGTGGACAGAAGAGCTTCAAGAAGCGGAAGCGATGAAGCGCCACACGCAATGGATAGACAACGACAGCGACGTCCTGAGCATGCTTCGCGCCGCCGGAGCGTACGCGTACAGTGGCGGGTCGACCTCGTTCTGTGCTGAAAATCACTTGCACGAAAAGGTTGGTGCTCCATGCCCCGTGGTGTCGTTGAGCACGGGTCTAGATCATGGAACAAATGCTCAAACTGCGCGGCCAGCTCACCACGATTGTAAACAAGCTCGTGGGGGCCACCGCGCTGACACTGCGGCCCAACATGCCACCGCCGTCTGACGACGACCAGGACTTGCTGCGTCAGATCATTGCTGCAGGTTGGTTGTCGTCGATAGCGCAGAGTCGACGACGATGCATGCCGTTTTGAATAGGATTCGTCGACCAAGTCGCGCGGCGAGTGCCCGCAGGTACCGTCCGGCCGCGTCGACCGGATCACACGATTGATCGAGCCTAGGCACCATCACGAGTGGGTCCAAGATCGAGCGGAATTGTGCTTACATGTCTTGCAACGACGTTGTGACGGAGCCGCTGTATATTCACCCGCACTCGCATTTGTTCACGACCGACCCAAGCAAGGTTGATTGTCTTGGCACACCGCTTGATCGCTGTCATTGTTTGGCACGTCACGTGCGCTTTCCTGTGTAGCTACCGCCCTACGTTGTTTACACCAACGTCGTACGAACGTCCAGGTCGGTAGAGATTCGAATTCGACATGATTTTTGGACGAGTGAGCGTGCGCCGTGCGTCAGAGTCGGTCGGTGGTTGCGATGGTCGATCTTTTCTCGAGTGTCCCGCGCCGATATGGCTCACAGACCAGTGCCACCCCATAGAGCGTACATGAAGACTGTGACTGCGGTCGAGCCGGACTGGTTGTTTTCTGTGGCGGCCAACACGCCGTTGTGCGAGACATCCGATCCGTTGGCGGCGCCGCCGCCAAAATACAATGCTGCACTGGACCGCGTCGAGTGCTATGTGAAGCCCATGTACGGCAGTCACAAATGGGAGTTGCCTGCAGCGTTGGTACGTAGCTAGAGTTGGTTGAGGGTCTCGAATGCCCATGACGTGCCTGGGGTAGGTGGAATACCCCGACGGACCGGTCAAATTGCGATGGTTCGGTCGATTTTTGCTGGACGGACTCGTCGTCCCATCGCTAAAGCCATTCTTGGCCAACAAACTGCGCGAGCCGAGCTTGTCGCTTATCAAAAAGAAGTTTGATGTCAAGATCCAAGTGCTCGTGTCGGCCCTCGAACGGTTCGCACCGGCATCCCGTTGACAATCCCGAGTTCATTGTGTGTGTATCGTAGCGCCAAAGTCAGCTCTCGTAGAGCTCTCGTTGCGCAGTGGCAGCGCAACCCCAAGTTCTTGCACGACGAATTGCTGAGCTGGGTTCAAGACAACCACAAGGCAGCTCTGAAGGCGCAGTGGAAGGCCATTGTGACTCGTGAAGCTCTGTAGAATGGTGGCCTTGGCTATTCGAGTTTGTCGCGTTTCGCGAGTGCCGTAGGATGTGGCTTGCATTCGAGCTCGAGGCACCATGCATCGCCGGCCGGTGCATTTCCTGCTGGCAATACTATGGAAGAAACTATAGAATAATTCGGTCGTTTTCGCAAATATTTTGAACATGTATGGCGAAAAAGTGTTTCTAATAGTATTACTAGTAGTATTGGAGTAGATTGCCTTCTTTTCGACTGGGGACGTGCCGCCGACGACGATGCCGAAGAAGATGGTGTTCGTGACGGTGGGAACGACGTGCTTTGATGAGATGATCGCGGCTGTGGACACGGACGAAGTCCATGCGATTCTCAAGCAGAAGGGATATGACGAAATCCTGTTTCAGATTGGCCGTGGCACGCACGAACCGCGCGTTATTGCTAACGACACCTTCACCACATCGTTCTACCGGTTCAATCCAGCGTACAAGGACGACATCCGGCGGGCATCTCTCGTACTCAGTCATGCCGGCGCTGGATCCATCATGGACACCCTCGTCGAGCGCAAACACCTGATCGTGATTCCGAATACACAACTCATGGACAACCATCAGGAAGAGTTAGCGGGGGCGTTGGCGGAACGGCACCACTTGGTAGCGACGACGTGCAGTCTGCTTGCGTCCACGCTTGCCTCGGTGGACTTGAAGACACTCGTGCCATATCCAGAAGTTGACGAAGAAGCGTTTCCGTCGCTCGTCGACTGCATCGTCATGTCCGGTCGTTCGATCAAGCACGCATGACGACTCCAGCCTGATTTTTTATCAACGTACAGGAAACAAAAGGTCATGCCGCCAAAACCGACGTTTTGAGTGCAGGCTTGCGGCAGCTTCCTCGCTGCCGACAACTTTACGTGCGAGCGCGGTCACAAGTGCTTTCTGAACTCTTCTCGTTCCACCAGTTTTGGAATGACGCTTGGGCACACGACTTCATCCAATCCAGCTGATCGACATCTCCGTCCCCCATGGAATCTCTATCGACTACAATCTCTGCTGATGAGGTGTGCTGGAGATGGGAGCTGATTTCATGTAGCCTCATCTTGACCGTGGATTCCAAGCGGGACCAACAGTTTTTTTGAAAGGGTTGTGCTTGCAACGACGAGCGTCCAGATCCGTCGCGTCAGTCTCGTACTCTCGTGGGTGTCACACATCTGTGATGGTGTAGCTGGTCCGACTGGCGACGCCTCCATGCTTGCCACAGCCCAACCGTGCATCGGGCAACAGTTTGTTCCGTTCGCACCGATGGCTATTCATGCAAACCGGAGGTCGTGCAGTGAACAAAGATCATTCGTTTGAACTTTTTCCCTCCGCCTCGTCGTCGCTCTCTTCGTCGTCTTCGTCAAACACGAGCTGCTCGTTGCGCTTGAACGACGTCGACTTGGTGAGGTGGATCTGGGTTGCCATCATTCCCTTCAACGGACTGTTGTCGTAAAAGGTTTTCCATTTGGCAACTTCCTCTTGCGACGCGCTCAGTGCGGTCGAAAAGTGTGTCACGAGGCGCTGCAGCTCCTTGTTTTGGCTCAGCACTCGTTGCATTTCCTACATGTCGAGATTCAGCCAGTCGCAAGCAACTTCGAGGGCGTACGACGTCGCCCATGCCCCGTTGCTTGACGTGACAATCCAAAGCGTTTTTGAATTCATTCATCTCGTCCTGATACCGCTTTACGTCGGCTTTGGCCTCGGCTAGATCGATCTGAAGTTGCATGCGTTCAAACAACTGAGCTTCGACGTCGCCCACGCTCTGACCATGCTGTGCGCACCACGAAAGCCATTCATGGTCATTCAACTCTACACAACGTACTTTTAGCAGTCGACGCAATTCCTTGGATAGATCCGTCGCTTTCGACTTCAAATTGTTCCTTTCTTCCACAAGATTCATGCACAGAGCCTGCTGTGCCGCCAACTCGGCCCGCACCTACAGCAAAACCACGATGCCAGTAAGAAAGATGCCACGAGTGGGGCAACGTACGGTGCGGCAGTCTTCGTCCAATGCAGCCCATTTGGCCTCCATTTCGTGGTTGTGGGTCCTCACGACAGCGAGCTGAGATTCCAGTGCTTCGTTGGTCCTCTTCAGGTCTGCACAGGATTGCTGCAGGCGAAGGGCGGACTCTTCCATCTACATTCAATCGCACATGACAAGCCATGCCCGTCGACGGGTGGATTTGTACTCGTTTGCTTCGCTCGATCGCAGCGTTGGCGACCTTGAGCTCCCCACGCAACGACTCGACTTGCAATTGCAACGCCGTGTTGACCGCCACCTGGTCGTCGAGCTTTCGGTCGCGCACTTCCACTGCAATTGCCATCAAGTTGCGTTCATTTTGCGTGGCTTTGATTACAAGCGATTGCGACGCCAGCTGCCTCTACCATGTTCACCATGTTGTTGCATGCGATGAGCGCCTTTGTCCAAACCTTGAGTTCGAAGACTTCGTCGGTCGTTGCAATGGTCTTGATCCCTGGGGTCTTGACGTCCAAATCACCTGGAACATCGTCGTTCGAACCAAGTGAGTCCGAGTCGGTCTTGCTGGTGAGCACGGCAGGCAGGCGAAGGCTACAAAGTTCGTTCCGCCAACACATCTCCACCGAGAAATGACGCTCACCTCGCCTTGTCGACGACGTTGCCGAAGTAAGTCGCTTCCGCTCGTCGAGCAGATTCGTGTGCTTCGTTCGACGCCAACCGTTGCGCTCGAAACGATCGCAGGGTCGATGCAATGATATCTCGCGTCGAGGCGCTTTGAGCAGTCAGATGCAATGTTGAGAGCATGCCGGGGCGGATCCCAACGTTTGACAAAAGTCCTGCGGTGTCCTCCGTCACGACGCCGACGGCATCCCCCGACGGCCGAAAGCGCAGCACGAATCGCGTCGAGTCTTCAGGGTCCAAGTACACATGCAACTGATCGTCGTACGGAGCATCGACGACCGTATCAAAATCGTCTTCTGTAATTTGAATCACGACCACGTGATTCGTGTCCACTTTCAGTTGAAAGCTACAACACAAAAATTGAATTGGTGCGTTGCATGCAATGGACGTGCCTGACGAGCTCCGAGTTTGCCAGTGTTGCCTAGTTGCCACACGTGCTATGACGTCCCATGCTCGACAACTACCCAACAAGTACCGAGAACGAAGCGGACCCTGCTTCCACCATCATGCGGGTCGTGTCTTGAACGGACGGATCTGCATCAGCATGGAGAGTAAAGGACGCCGCATGAAGCTCATGTACACCCATCCGTTGGTTTCGCACGGAAACCACAGGGGCATGGGGTCGTCTTCGTACCAACGACAAGTGGTTGATCGAGTTGGACGAGTTTCACGGGGGACATGGACCCAAGGCGACTGATGCAGCACGACAGCCCAATCGTAGCTCCAACGTCGTCAATCGATGGCATGTACGTGCGGTGGGTAGCTCCTACGTCCTTCCAACGTGATGCAAAAGTCGCACGAACGAGGTATCTCTACCTTGCAGCAACAACCATTCGTTCGTCGCGGGCAAGATGCGGAACCACTGGCAATGGACTTCACCGTCTTCGACGCCCATGGCCTTTCCAGTCGACACGAGGTGGAGACCAGACGTGTGGAACGCATTCGTGTGTTCTCGGAATGCAATCGAAGCGCCATGGAGCCATTGCGTCCACTCGTCTGGAGGGAATTGCACGGTTTAGATGGATTTTAGTGCGGTACATGGTCGACCTTTTTCGTCGGGGGTTTTTTTCCCACCCATAAACTTGAGCAGATTCGTGCTGGACGTCACGACTTTGTCGAGCGTGATCGAATCTTGCCAATTTTTGAACTTTTGTTGGAATTTCTCCTAATTGTGGATGTGAATGGGAAACTCCTGCACGCTTCCTTACATTGTTGGTGGTGACAGTGCCGGGGGGCGTCCGGCCGCCTGGCTGTTGTTGCTGGTGCTGAGGTGCTGGTGGCGTGGCAGTCCATCCCACTGACGTTGTCGAGAGTGTTCCCACGGTGGTCGTGGTGGCCGGGGAAGGCGGAGACGACGACGTCGACGTCGAGTTGGTTGTGACAGCGTGAACTCGTGGGGAAGTCAGGATCGTTGCCTTGGTTATGTCCACGGCAGTCAGGGATGCCCGCTTTGGTCGCATGTCAAGGATTTGCCCAAATTTCCCCCATCGCCCAACGCTTCCACTGAGCGTTCATGGCGTGTCAGTGCCAGGCGGAAATGTGTTTCTTGTACGTACTTAGTTGGAGTGCAGGGTTGTGATGGGTCCGTCGACAGAGTGTGCTCACTTCCACGGCGACCGGGAACGCTAGGTGGGGCAATTGGAAAGAACTCGGGAACGTACACCTTGGGCAGCACCTAATGCAGGAGCCTCATGTCATTAGTCTTGTACCGTCCATGTACGCACCGTCAGCACAAGCGGGAAGTTGGCGTTTTTCGCTTCAAGAACGACATGCTGAAATGGAAGCACGGTGCAGTCGACGTCGTTAAGGGATAGGACGAGGTCACCAATGTGCACGTTTCCACTGAGCTCGGCTTGGCCTTTCCCTCCATCAGCCGTCGTGCGAAACGATTTCACGAGCGCACCGAGATGAGGAAACGTGCGCGAGCACAGATCCAAGTACAATGGACCGCGCGATTCGTACACAACTCTCTTCACCACCGACTGCATTTCTTCGAGGCGGTCCGCGCGTGTATGGGTGACTCGTATTGACAGCTCCTTGACGTCCAAATCCGATGTTGCTTGAGGCGTGACGCTATCATCGTCTCCACCAGGACCATCGATCTCGTCGTCGTGAGACTTGGCCGTCGAGAACTGGTCGATTCGATCGTCATGATCGAGCTCGGGGACCTCCTTGTCCATGGCGGCACCGCAAGATACAATCGCCAAGTGGCGTTCGGCGCTCAAGTTATTTTTGGAGTTTTCATGTCCGGATAGGATCAATTTATCCGTATCTACTAATTTTTTATGTGCATACAAATTTATAGTCCCTGCATGGAATTCTTTTATTTCTAGCCGTTAGGATCGATCGAGGGAGGGGTATCGATCGACACACAACAGTGCGACGCTCGGGCTGGCGACGGTAGTATCGCTCGAGCAATCCTGAGGGGCTCCTCCATTCAGAGGATGCTGATGTTGAGATCTTGCAGGCAGCGCCGACTTTACGTGGCTGCAAACGTCCTGCGATGGCCCTGTGGAATCTCCAGATACTTAGTATGCATCCGCAACTACAAACAATAGGCGTGTGAGACAAGCACAGTTTGCCAGCAAACATCTAATGCTCATATTTGTACGTGCATGGGGAGGTCGATTGGGGCGCGAATAAGGCTCGCGTTCGATGATGAGGACATGGCATGGCCACAAGTGTGAAACGCGTCGAATCACATGTGACAAATTCAGGCAAGTGCTGGGAAGAGCATGTGCGCTCATTTGCTGACGCTGCGATCCCAGCGCGCGGATATCGTTCCAACAAGACCATCCGTCGCGCACCATGCCAACGTTGGCTCATGGCGATGTCCCTTCCCTGGCCGAGTTCAAAATCTCGTGGTGGACATCCACATGTGCTTGAAGTTTCGCGTCGCAATTTAATATCTTGGATTTAGTATGGCTGTGGATTTGAAGCAGGATTCCGGATAATTGTATCCGGCATTTCTTGTGTTCCTTAGCTGGATGCCCTTCAAAATCGCATTTTTTGTGTGGTGCAGTCCGTCCAACATGGAAGACTTGCAGAAGAGAGTGGCCGCGCTGGAACACGGCACGGAATGGCCTGCCGAGCGCATCCGACAGACGTTCGTGGACTTCTTCGTAAACCATCCGTCGCTGCCCCACGTCGAGTACAAGTCGTGCCCGGTCGTTCCGTTGGACGACCCGACGTTGCTCTTCATCAACGCCGGGATGAACCAATTCAAGCCCATTTTCCTCGGGCAAGTCGACCCTTCCCACCCCATGTCCAAGCTCACCCGTGCCGTGAACTCACAAAAGTGCATTCGCGCCGGCGGCAAGCACAACGACTTGGACGATGTTGGCAAGGACGTATATCACCATACGTTCTTTGAAATGTTGGGAAACTGGAGTTTCGGCAACTACTTTAAGGAAGGTGCGATCGACCTCAGCTGGACGTTGTTGACTAAAGTGTACGGGTTGGAACCGGAGCGCTTGTACGTCACGTACTTTGGCGGCGACGCCAAGCAAAACCTCCCTGCAGACGAAGAGACCAAAAAGTTGTGGCTCAAGTACGTTGCGCGCACTTGTATCATCTTCCTTTCGGTCCATTGCCTCATACGTCGACTCCTCTCGTAGGTACGTCCCCGAATCGCGCTTGTTGCCGTTTGGGTGCAAGGACAACTTTTGGGAAATGGGCGACCAAGGTCCGTGCGGCCCTTGCACGGAAATCCACTACGATCGCATCGGTGGCCGCGACGCGTCTGCCCGCGTGAACGCGGACTTTCCCGACGTGATTGAAATCTGGAACAACGTGTTTATCCAGTTCAACCGTGAGCCCGATGGATCGCTCGTTGTGCTGCCGAGCCAGCACGTCGACACGGGCATGGGGTTCGAGCGCTTGGCGTCCATCTTGCAAGGCAAGATGTCCAACTACGACACGGATGTGTTTATGCCACTGTTTGCGTCGATTCAATCGCTGTGCGGAGCCACGGAACCATACACGGGCAAGCTTGGCGATGAAGACCCGACGCTCAAGGACATGGCGTATCGCGTGGTAGCTGACCACATTCGCACACTGACGTTTGCGATTTCGGATGGCGCCGTGCCTTCTAGCGATGGCCGTGGGTACGTCCTTCGCCGTATCTTGCGTCGCGCCGTGCGGTATGGAGAACAATTCCTCGGCGCCCCTCGAGGCTTTTTGTCCAAGTTGGTGCCCAAGGTTGTCGAAATGATGGGCGCTGCGTTCCCTGAGTTGGTGACCAAGCAATCTCAGGTGCGTCTTTGTGGTCTGCAGGATGGATGGTAAGCATGGCTGTAGGTGATTGAAGTGATCTTGGACGAAGAAGAGAGCTTTGGCCGGACGTTGAACAAGGGGTTGGACCGATTCAAGAAGATTGCTGCTGCGTTGAAGGCGGAGAAGAAGACAGTCGTGCCTGGCGAAGACGCGTTCTTCTTGTATGATTCAATGGGGTTCCCGTTGGATTTGACGCAGCTCATGGCGGAAGAGCAAGGCTTGGTCGTTGACGTGGCTGGCTACGATTTGGCCATGAAGATTCAAAAGGAAAAGTACGTCGACGCGCTGCTGTCGGCGCACCTCACACGCGTGCTTGTAGCTCGGGCAAGAAGGCCGGCGTCGCTGGCGTGCGCCCCCTCGTGCTGGAATCGGCGGAAACGGCCCACTTGGCCGCCCAACACATTGCTCCGACCCACGACGACGCCAAGTACATCCAAAAGCACGTGTCGGCCAAGGTCGTTGCAATCTTCACGACGACTGCGACCGCGTCGACATTTGTCCAATCCACCGCGGCCCATGAACATGCGGCGATCGGAGTCATCCTGGACACGACCAGCTTTTATGCTCAGTCCGGTGGTCAGGTACATCACGTGGATCTGTTTGTGGATGGCACTTCTTGCTGCAGCGATCGTGTGTCCTGTGTGCGTTGACCTGAGGCTCATGGGGCCTTGGACAACTGAGGAATCGTTTCTCTTGTTGGAAGGCCACCATTGTCGCGGTCGGCCATTGTAGCCGGGCGTTTAGGCCCTGGGGTGGTGGCTCATTCGGAATGTATTGAACAGATTTACGACACGGGTGTAATCAAGAACGGCATGACGCATTTCAACGTGCACGCGGCCGAGTCGTACGCTGGGTATGTCCTCCACGTGGGTCCGCTGACCAAGGGCACGCTCCACGTCGGTGACGAAGTCCAAGTCGAAGTCGACTACCAGCGCCGCAACAAGATCGCTCCCAATCACACGATGACGCACGTGCTCAACTACGCGCTTCGCCATGTCCTTGGGACGACAGTCGACCAACGTGGGTCGCTCGTCGACGACGCCCGCCTTCGATTCGATTTCACCACCAACAAGCCGCTCAAGCCGGATCAAGTACGTGCCGATATCAAAACCCGTGCATTTCATTTCTGGCCTTGCTCCTCCGTCGAGCGGCGGGGTGCATCCAGACGATGGCACGTTTACGTTGGCTTGGTTTCTCCGTGCTGTTTGTCGTGGAAGGACGTGCGCTGACGCTATCTCGTGCCTTGGGCGTAGATCGCGGCGGTCGAAGCGATTTGCAAGGACGTGATTGCGCAAGAGCTGCCCGTGTACGTGGAATCGGCGCCGCAAGCGCATGCCAAGCGCATCCAAGGGTTGCGTGCGGTGTTTGGGGAAACGTACCCCGAGCACGTCCGCGTCGTGTCGATTGGTGCCGCCATCCCATCGGTCTGTCCGCTTCCGCACGCGAGGACTCATCTTTGCGACGTTGGTAGATGTTGGCGGATCCTGAAAACGCCGCGTGGAAGCAATACAGCGTCGAGTTTTGCGGTGGGACCCACCTGACCAACACGAAGGAAGCGGTGTCGTTTGCGTTGTTTGAAGAAGGCGCGGTCGCCAAGGGCATTCGGCGTATGAGTGCGTACACGGGGGAGGCCGCCAAGGAAGCCGATGCGCGTGCCAACGGGCTCAAGAAACAACTCGACGACTTGGCCACGCTCCCTGTCGCGGAGATTGTCACGTCTGTCGCGGCATTTCGACCGGTGCTTGACACAGCGCTCATCTCGCTTCCTCGCAAGGAGGTATGGGATCGCATCTCTTGCGGTGGCTCCCATCGAACCAACCACGTGACAATTTGTCCAGGCCCTGAAACAACAATTGAACGACTTGATTGAGAAGATTAAGGCGTGGCAAAAGGAAGAAGCCGCCGCCCGCGCGGCCGCGGGGGTCGCCAATGTGAAGGCGTTGGTGGCCGCGGCCAAGGCCAGCGGTGAAGAGGTACGTTCGCCAAACAATCGTTGAATGCGTTTGACGGTGGTGGTCGGTGTCCAGTTCGTCGTGCTCTCGTTGGACGTCGGCGCCGAAGCCAAGTTGGGCCGTGAATTGCTCGATGCTGCCGTCGAAGTGTACCCCGACGGAAGCTTCTTCATCTTCAGCGTCGACGCGGATCGCACCAAGACGGCCGGGTTTGCCCAGGTCAGTGCCAAGCATCATGCCGCCAAGGGGCTCGACGCGAAGAACTGGGTGAATGGTGCAATGGCGTCACTTGGAGGGAAAGGCGGCGGAAAGGACCCCCTCACTGCTACCGGCCAAGCCAAAACGGTCGTCGGCCTCGAGCAAGCGATCGCCGCCGCCAAGGCGTTTGTGCATTAAGCAAGTGGATTCAATGGACAACTCTCTTCTATCTTCTAGTCAACTTGGTGGTGGCAATGGACAGGAAGGATGGGATTGTCGAGCCTGCGCGTGTGTGTGCAGAGCTACATGCAAACCAAACACATGCGTCGTGTCCCGCACCGATGCACGAGGATGCTAACCATATATTTTAATTTTTTATTACCAGAGATAATAGATGAATTTTATAAATACTAGAAGATACATGCATGGCCACGAAACATGTACAACAATGTCGAAGCTTTAAGCGGAACTTACGAATCCACTGTGACGCAGGAAAAACCGTCCCTTAGCCTGGTATGATCACTCCCCATCGATGCTTTCCACGGAGCGAGCGAGCGGCGCGCTTTGGTGGACATGTTGCCGTTTCAAACTACTTGGATAAAGTGTAGTATACTTGCACGCAATTTATTTCAAATATGTATACTAGTAGTTCTTTTTATATTTCTATTAAAATACGTGTCAATGGCGCCATCAGTGGCATACAAAAATCAAGTATTAATATACCCGAATCGAGAATTCCAATTTAGCCAATCCGATGCAAGTAGTGAACCAGCGCAACTTTGGAGATTGATCAGAATGGCGGGAACTCGAGCGGGCGGCAGTGGCGGGTTGCGCGAGCGGTGGACATCGCAGGGGCGGGACGTGATGTTAATGTCCCCGCAAGGTCTGAAGGAGGGACTCAAGCGACGGTGCATGGAGCACGTCAAGAAGAATCGCAAGCGCATCCTCAAGAATTTACGACAGCATACGTCGGATGTCACGTCAGAAGTGATGGACGTGTCCGAGTCGATTTGCCTCGAAGACTTGAGGCTTCGCGGCGAACTTACCCACGACGACTACTTGGACGTGTTGACGAGCTTGGAGAGTGCGTTACACGAGGAAATGCGCCTCGAGGAGCTGGAACTAGCAGAGGAACTGCTCGAGGCCGAGGAAGCGTGGATTGCGGATTTCGAAGCGTTGGATTTGCATCAAGGTTGCTATGGATCCGAGTTCATCCTGTGTCCTTTGTGTAAGAAGCATGGAATTGATGTGTCGACGAACGAGCACGAGATCACGATTCTCGAATGCGTTTGTGGGCTGTACCTCCCACTTCCGCTTAGCCATGGCCCCAAGACTCCGTTGGCACGGTTCCAAGATGCCATGTCAAATGCCTTTGTAGCTCATGAGTTCGTATATCCTCCTTCTATCGCATGCAGCATGCTCAAGATGACTTGGCCTAGGTGCATGTGCGACGAAGTCCCAAACTTCCACATGAGCACCACATCCGTAGCAACACAACTCTTCCTCGATTGCAACTGCTGTGGCAGCTTCATTCAAGTTATTTAATTCAAGACTAACAGCACCATGGACCATTCACCCACCCCACGTCGTGCCCCCAAGTCGCTGGCACTCGGAACATTCTGAGGGACAGGTTGTACCTTTACTGACTCATTTGGCCGTAAGAGATCACTTGTTCCTCTGATGTCGCTGTGCTTCCTACCTCAAGCATTCCCAAAGGATCCCAACACCATGTCGTGCGCATAGCAGTGATGCATACCGTCACTCATTGACATGACGACATCGTGCACAACGCAGACAACCGAACCAAACAGCATCTGAGACGTATGGTACTCGAACAATGACCGGTGGGATGTGCACATGACAACCAAGGAGTGAGAAATGGGAGTGCCGCACGTACGTAGTGAAGCCCCCGCGGTATGGATGATGCTGAAGCTGCTGCGTCCATATTTTCACGCGTTGATCTGCAGTTTGTTGGGCAACCGCAGATGTTCCACAGCGCTGGAAACGGCAATCACCGATCGACCGCGCGCCGCGTCCTATCGAACGTCCACTTGCCACACGTTGAGGAGCCGTACCAACGTGAGAATCACGAGCTTTTGCTGGGTCCTACGCCCAGCGTGCGGACATCAGAGGCTCAGAGGCCTCACACCGTGCACATGCACATCATCCCCCCTGGAAGGGAACGTCCGCTGTCGGTGCTGCGCCTTCCGATGGATCAGGATCGGTTGTGGTTCTTGTGAAGTGACTGCTGCTGCGGTGTCGGTCCCATGACTTCGTTCATCACCGGGTCAACCAACGATTGAAACCCGTCGTCTGTCCTTCAGCGAAACCCGATGGGTTCGGCGGCGGCGTTCCAACTCTCCTACGCCGCATATGGCGCCGGGTTCGCAAAGCACCGCGACGTTGGAGTTCCAAGTGGTTCACGGCATCGCGTCGTTCATCGTGCCGCCTGCGCCACAAAGACCGTCCACAGCACCAGCAAAATCACGCGGCTCGAGGATATCTTGAATGTGGTCGCGGAGACGGCTCTGCTTGTGGCACGTCCCGTCGAGCATGAAGTGAATGTAGAACCGCTCTGCACAGATTCGACAACGCTTGACGAATTCTTTGTTTTCGATCATGCGGGCGGGATTTGCAAAGCACGCGGCATGGATGTACCCTGCACGACAACTTACGATCGTGTAGTCACAACGTCCAAGTGGAAGTGTCTCAGTTGCCTCGAGGAAACCATTCGACATGACAGAACGAGATTCTTGACATCCATCAGTCGGTCGCGGTGTCGCCTAGGTCTAGTCTTGGCAACGCTGGAGTCATGATGTACGCACGCGCCGCGCTTCATGGCCCACGCCTGGCCACTTCTAGCCACAGCCCATAGCTCCGTTGAGATCGACAGTTAAATAAGATTGATTCCACGCCGCTTATATGCTCTCTAGCGTGTACCATTCGGACTCCAGGTACTCGTCGACGTCGCTCATCCAGTCGCACTGGTCGTAGTCGGCGCCGGACTGCCGCAGCATGTCTGCGATGGCATCGACGAACTCTTGAGCCTCTTGGGGGGTGACTGGTGGGGCCACAGTGCACGAATTGTCGCGCGCGTCGTCAAGGTCCCACAGCTGGCGCATCACCTTTTCAAGCACGGTCGCCATGGCAGCGGTACCAGGTTGTCGCAGCGGAGGCATGTTGGACAATGCCGAGCCACCATCGATCGATCCACGCGATGTCGCGTTGCGCGGACAATGACGTGACTCAATTAAGTACGAAGTCCAGGTACCCCGGGTGTACATGATTCAACTTGATTGGCTGGAGCCGAATTTTAACTCTGTATTATAGCGAATGAAATCACCTCAACCCGGAAGATATACGCAACCCCCATTCTGGTCGGCTGCCACAGGAAATAATTGAGGTCGCGCATGCGAGTGGGAGTACACACGTCATGGCAGACAGTGTCTGGGGCATGCAAGCGAAAGCAGCAATAGACCACGAATGGCTGGTACGATAAGTCGTTGCGCATGTGCTGACCCCGACTTGGACCATTCAATCCGTCGAAATGCCTGCATGGGCCGTTCACGTTGGCGTCCTTACATTTGAATCGATGGAGTGCGAATAAGTGTGTGTCCTTACGCCTAGTCTGGCCAAACAACCAAAGCCCCTACACTTGAATCCATCGCACGTTGCGACCGCCACCGTCGAATTCGCAGCGAACCAGTGCCATCTGTACGGTCGACTTGATAAAAACTTGAAAAAGTGGTACCAGTACTCGAATAATATTGAGCAGTATCTGATTAGCGATGTCGTTTAGGCGAAAATACTAACAATAAGATTTAACGCAGTGATTGGATAAATACCCATTGAATTTTAACGCAATGTGATTGGTCGATTCGAAAATCCCTCGCAGTTTGAACTTTGATGCCAACACCAGTCCTCCCGCATTAGGTCCAGCGGCGATATTGCAACGACATTCGCATAATGCTGACGAGAGCTTATGAGAACTCGACGCTCTCTGTAAGTTCTATTTGCGCTTTAGAAGGGATACCTCGTTCACAATGGCTGAAGTGGCTCAGTAAAGAAGACCCAGCGCAATAAGCAACGCCCCAACCTTGGAGGCCAAGGTAGACCCGTCATGATGGAATTTACTGACGACTTGGTACATTCCATGTGATCTGTACGAGATGAGAGCCACCACCTCACCATGGCTCACATGGTCACGTGGATAAAGACCCACCAACCAACCTGAGTCGACCAGTATTTAGGCGAGAAGGCGTCAGCAGGCACTGGCTACACTGGACTCCTCGGCTTGTGCCAACGCTTTGCTCACCGTCATGGATTTGCTCAGTGAGTTCTTTGCTTCTCCAAATTAAAGCAAACTGCTGTCTGAGAAAAAGGAAATGTTTGCCTCAACATTATGGCCCAAGCATAGCAACGTCCCATTGCGCGACATCGTTTATGTTGACGATACGGCAGTGTATTACAACACACCACAACACCGTAATTGGTATAAGATTGGCGTCGGCGCTAACAGTGACTCCTCGGAAAAGCATTCCGACCGTATGACGGCGGTGTTGGCCAGATGTGCTGATGGTTTGTGATAATACTGTAAACTTGATGTAATTCGTTTTGTAGGAACTAAACTGCCAATCCTCTTTCTTGTGCGTGCGGTGATCAGTTGCCAATTTGAAACCGAAGAGCTGTCTAACTATCCTACGGGTCACGCCTATGCCGTTCAAGAAACGACGTGGATGGACGAGGACTTGTTGTTCTACCTGAGGGAGCTACTTAAAGTCGAGCTTGTCGGCCCAAGGACGCTGCTGGTTGATAACTTGTCAGCCCATGCCGTCCGTCCCAGCACGACAGGTCGCGGACGACGAGTTGTACTCGTTTCTGGAGCCTCTGCCAGCAAACACGGCGGGTGTTTGTCAATCACTTGATGTCGGGGTGACTTGTCCTCTGAAGACGAAGATGCGTGCGTTATGGCTGCGTGACGTGCCCGTGATTTATGCTGCGAAAAAGCGAATGAAAATGATCGAACGTAGCATCATGGCGTGGGAATCGATAAGCGAAGAAACGATCAGGAAGTCGTTTATGAAAGCCTTGCCAACCGTGGCGTCCGAACGTATCGAGTCATGAGTTCAGCTAGTGTGAAACACATACATGGATTATTGCAATTTTATCTATTGTCTTACTACTGCCGTCCATTTGAAAGCACCGTTTGGATCATGTGCATTGACGTGTCGGCCAGCGCTACTTTGAGCTTCCCAACACTTCAGCAACACTCGAGCTTTTTAATGTAAGGCTGGCGTTGTCGTCTATCCCGACCAGAAAATGACGATGGCGCTGACGAAGATACATGAGTGGCACGACAGGAGACCGAAAGTAGTTCAACTCGTCGCAATTCTTTGTGTCGTTTCTTCTCGTACAAGATATCACTGTCACCCAGAACGACCTGGCGCGAAGGCGCTTCGGCTTCTGGTTAGTGTCAAGGACGTCACTTGCCGAAATCAATGCTGCGTTTGCATGCAGTGGTGTGCATGAGCCGGCACCTTCAAGGGGTTGCCAACGTGCTTTTGAGCATAGTGTTGACCCGTTGTACTTTCAAGACGGAAGGGTCGATGGTTTTGGACTATGGAAACAGATCGACCTATGTCCGATAAAGTAGCGATGCCCATCGTACTTAAACCGTACGGCCTCCTCGTCCTAAAGTCCGAGTAATTTTCGGCCGAATCGAGGACTTTTGCGTTGGTGCACCACCCGCCAATAGACGGGCACTCCTTTAGTATTGTCCCCGCAAATAATTTTAAATGTTTGTGCATGTTCGAAATTCAAAGCAAATTAATAGGATCTATTGATTGCAATAACAAGTCCCTTAAAGTAC